CTTGACATGACTCTATATCCAAAAACTCAGAAGAGGAGAGAAATAAGTTCTCTCTCATTGGTCGAGATCGTAAACAAAAGCGCAAAGGTGTCAAACGTCAAAGCTAGAGTCAATAAAAATAGTTTACCATCGACTGTGGGTATATGCATAAACATTTCTGTTTGTTTGTATGCTATTTCGAAACTATTTGAGAGCTTGTTTGTTTTCCACTTAAAACCAGAACAGCGAGCAGCCAACAGCGCTCAGCAAATGTATCTATTTGATAGGCGACATATTTTGTGCTGGCTGCCAAAAAGGCGGCTTGACCATATTGTGAAAGATTCAGCCAAAAGGCACAAATTTCGGTTGGGTTTTATTCGCGGCATAAATTTGCCAAGAGAGCAAACGAGCAAAGCTTATAAAATGGGGCTGCGACACAGTTGAGCCGTTGTAAGCTTTCAATATTTGCATAAACCTATTCAATTTTGACCTACAACCTGCTTTGGAGCTACTAAGCATATTCATATCAGATCAAAGTATCTAAAGAGTCAACTGAATAGAAATGGGTTCTTTAGGTGTGGAATCTAATTTGCTACTTGACTTAAGATCCGCTGACTTATGCAAAGTCTATTGTTTGACTATCAGCTTGCAATATATAAATGGGAATTTTATTTATACATATAAATATGAATATAAACTATGTATTAGAACTCATTCTAATCAAATGAAATTTGCAAGACATCTACATAGTTCTCTCTGCGGGTAAATGTTAGTATCAAAATATTTGTTGTATCTCGTTGATCTTAATCTCCACTATAACATAATAATTGATTACAGTAACATTTTATTTTATGCATTCACCTGGGCAGCTCCCTTACTCACCTCAAATAGTTTTATCCATTTAGTTTTTCTACAAATCCCATAAATTCTAAGCCGCTTGCTGATTATCCAGAAGAGATGATTGTCTTAAATAAATCCACTTTCGTATGTAAGCTTCAAGAGCGATGCTCGCGTGCAATTAATTACAACAAATTGCTTTACTTTCACCCAACTGCGGGTACTCGAGAGATATAATTATTCATGTAGCATTTGCATATTTACGAGTACTTTGATCTGCTAGACGTTTAGCATTTAGCACATCACTAAACTCGCGCACATACACAGCGACGTTTGCCAAGTGGGCCGAGGTGGATGAGGGGAGTTGCACTCGACACCAAATTTACGTATGTTGCATGCACATTTTGTTGTTGTTGTTGTTGTTGTTACTGCTGCTGCTGCTGCAGTTTTGGCAGGTTTCGTTAACAGGAAAATTGACTTTATGTACAAATATGTATGCATGCATATGGGTAGAAACTATATATAAACATATATATATATATTTGTATGTATATAAGTATGGGCTGCAGCGAAAACAACTTTTCGCGAAATATTACATACACACACTCACGCGCGCACACACATACACTCACATGCACCCATAAAACGCCCGCGGCGTCTGCGTTTTGCGTCTGGGCGTTAATCACGTTTAGAGCAGAATCGTTCTGCACGACGAAAAGTCAAAAACACAACTGAAACTTCTTTGGGAAAAAGTATTTTTACAGCGCACGGCACGCGCAATAGACCAACAATGGGTCTTGCTTGGGTCTCAACAGGTCTTGAGCTCAAGATATTGAGTGAGTTTTTTTTCTTTTTTTTTTGCCTCTGGTAGTTGCTTTGAAACCAGTTGATCTTGTTTTTGAGCCGATTTTACTGCGACTGCGGCTGCTGCTGCTGCTGCCGCTGCTGTTACATGACTCGGCGGCTGCGCGCTGCTCCTTTGGCAAGTTCGTGTCCTAAGTCTTTTGTTTTGCCTGCATTGCAATTGCTTTACTCGCAAATGCATGGCATTATTATCTATGAGTTATTTACGCTTAGCATTTTTGCTCTTGTTATGACCAGACGTGGCTCTATTGCTCCGCTGCCAACGTCGTTGTGCTAGTCGTTGTCGTGGGCTTGGCACACGTCCAGCCTCCAACCCCGTACAATGTTTGGTGGCCCAGGAATGTCCATGGCGGCGGCGACAGGTTTGCAGCTCTGCGCACTCCCAACGCCACTGCAGTTGGCGCATTTGGCGTAAATATATTGGCTACTGTTTCCAGTTGTCAATTGCCAATTGCCAATTGCCAAATGTATTCGATTTTTCCGCTCCTTTTTTGCGGGTTTCTATTTGCGGCGTAGGAGTACCTGGTTCAATGAACCGAGCCTGTAGTAAGAGAGACAAAGACAGAGGTGGAGCGAGCGAGAGAGAATCTGTGAGATATGGAAGCTTTGAAACGACCTTGTCGTGTGTGCGAAGTTTCAAAGACTTGAGCTGGCATCGGCTTCAACTTATTTCAGAATTTATTGCCCAGCCGTTGCTCAGCTCAGTTTAGTTTAGTGTGGCATTGTTCTGGCCAGTTCGTCGGTTCTTTTCAAATCTTATGACAATAAAGAGCGGCATTTTTCCGCTGGTTTGTTTTTTTGCTTGAAGCTGCCGCAACGTATAAAACCAGTCGCTGTCCGTGCGCTCTGTACTCTGTGCTCTGTGCTGTGCTCTGCTCCTGCCAATGCCCCAAACGTGAACCGAACCCGAGCGTCAGGGCAGTCACTTGATCAACTGGCAGCCAACTGGTTAAGAGTTGCTGAAAAGCATGCGCCAAAGAATTTAGCCAACGATTTTTGGAATGTTTTCAATGTACCAAGTGTTCAAACACCAAAAACAAAAAAACAAAAATACTTCATTCTGAAGTTTGGGAAGGCATTGATCGAACTAATATGCTCTCAACATGTGCTCTCTGTGTATATTAGCATTAGGGTATATAAGCTGACAAAGCTTTTTCTCACATTGCTTAAAAGTGAGCTTATATTTCGATCTTGTTTTTAATACAGTATTTCTCTCTATTGGAAGGAATAAGAGCTGCAATAACTACACCTTGAGCCTACGACGTCTGTGATGGAAAAAACCTCAAACATGTGGCTTAACAGCAATGATTTACAGTCAACATTACAAATATAACTTTTTGATTTTATTATCTATATAAATATGAATTAAAATAACTAATTGATGCGCCTCAAGTACTGTTGATCAACTATCAAACAGTTCTCTTTGGTCAGGAGAAGTGCAAATATTAAACAAATTTATATAATAAAAAAATTAATATGAATCAAATATTGCATTTTGTTATATTTTAATAAAAATATATTTTGAATTTTATGAATGAATTTGAAAATTTTATCTGCTCTCAGCGCTCTCTGGCAAGGCTTGCTTTCGAAAATATTGAATTTAGTTAATAAAAAACACTTGTTCTAAGCAGAAGAGGAACTTGAAAATTTAGCTATTATATCTCAATTACAACTTTAATTTGTTGCCTATAATTTTATATAAAATTAAATTGAATATGCCAAAACTTGGAAATAGTTTTTATTTATTTATATTTATAATACATTTTCTTTAATTTTATTTACCTTTCTTACAGCTTAAACTTTGATATATATTTAAAAATATATATATTGTGAATAACAATTTCATGTGTTTAGCAAGAAAATAGATGATTTTGGAGCATTAGAAATTCCATAATTTCATAATTATTTTCATACAATTTGTAGTTTAAATTTCGGAATCTGTAATTAGAGATCAATATGCAAGACTGCAATGAGAACTCTTTGATATCTGTTATTAGTTGCTCACTCTGCTGCATGGATTGAGCATGATATTGCATATGATTAGATGACAGAGCATATTATGGCAGAGCAGACCTGCTCAGCTCATAATCAACATTGTTGCCAGGAATTTTAATGCTGCTCATTAGTTGTGTGGCAATGTGTAGGGCAGCAGTGGCACACCAGCTGTTATTTTACTGAGGCAATTTAAACGGCATTAGCGCTAATAATTTGCGTTTACCTACTGCTGCCTTCGAGGATGGGATTGCCTCGGGACAGCGCCGTAATCTGAAAATCTCTTGCATCACTTGAAAATAATCATTGGGCAAGGACGTGACTGTGTCGTTGACGTTTATTGTGACAGCAGCGCTGTGGTGACTGCCTTCGGTTGATCGTATTCCCTGTACCTTTTTCCTGAATAGCTGGCTGGGCAACCTTCAGGTGCTAAGGTCTCAATGCGGTTCCGTTCCATTCCGGTCCTGCGTCGCTGCATGGGGCATAAATCAACACGAGCCGCAAAATGCAACCACAACAAAGCAAAAGGTAAAACGCAGGTAGCGACACCAACGACGACGACGACGACGACGACGACAACATCAAATTCCGAAGCCCCCAAACAAACGCAACGTTCCGTTTGTCGACCCAACTCTAAACTCAATTAGTGCATTGGTATAAGTGTGTGTGTGTGAGAGAGTGTGTTGCATTCTTTGCATGCCAATGTGGCATTTGATTGATAATTTCGTTACGCCTCGAACATGTTTCAAAATACATTTTTGATAGCTTTGGGTTTGCCGTTCCCCAGATTTATGACATATTATGTTCCCAAGCCTCTATTGTTATTGCTATTGTTAGCCATTAGCATGATATTTGTCGCTGATTCGTTTGGACAACGACGCGCTGCGAGCATGACTAAGTGCCCGCATTCGATTGGGATCCTCTTATTACAGAGTCTGCCTCTTCATCTTCTTTATAGAGATGCAAGGCAATTAGGTTGGCTGGCAGCAGAAGCCAACAATAAGATCCCGTTATAATCTTTTTGAATTCAAAATTTATATATTAACCGATATTGATTCGAAGAACGATGATGATTAGATTAAATAATTCCTAGACGCTACAATCTCATTTGAAAACTACAATAAAGTTAAGATTTGCAAAACATATTTATTTATTATAAGATTTATTATCTTAAAAATTTTAATTTGTTAAAATTTGTAATTTATTTATATATGTATATATGTAAATTGGTATATCATAAGAAGGTAATTGGCATATTTTGTTTGTGTTTAATTATTAGCTGAATTATATTGGAAATATTTTGAATATTTCTAAATATTTAATTGGGGTATATATATGTATATAATTCAATTATCGCATCTTCTACTTAATTGTAAAAATTTGAATTTTAAATTCTGGATCTATTGGAGTACAACTCTTCTAATACAAATACTATCTTGAGATACGAGAATTTCAACTACTTAAAATTTGGAGTTAAAGCAAATCCATAAGCAAACTTTGTAGATAAGCTGCCTATGCCTATATCATGTTTGTTTATCCTTCTAATCACTGTAATGTATATTTTGTTTGTAAGATTTCATCTCGTCGAACGTGTGCATCACGCTGTTTTCTTTTAATGTTTTGTTGTGGCTGTTTCTCACATAGTGACATCGATGACATCGTCAGGCAAAGCAAGGCAATCACGAAATCCATTCAGAGTTCCATTAATTATTAGACTTCAAGTTTCAGTTTGCCGTATTTCTGAAACTTGCTGAGAAACTCATCTCATTTCTTCACACCAACATATGACACCGTTTTGCCGCTCTTGCGCAGCTGTGCTAACAGTTCCTCGGACGGTAAGTTGGACGTAACGCTTACCGTCTTCGTCTCCAAATTTATGTTCACTTTTTCCACCTTATCTACAAAATGCAAAATGCAAAAAACAAACTTTAGTTGGCAACCGCGACCAAAGAAATGCCGTCGAACTGATAAGAGACAGCATTATTAATATATGTACTTAATAATACCAGCACAAAGCCTAATGCTTAATTATTCCGTGTAAATATGTGTGTACATACCACCTAATTTGGCTAAACACTTTTCCACGGCGCTGGCACATCCACCACACGACATTTCCACTTTGAATTCATGCACCTGCAAAATAGAGAAATATGCCAATTAACCTAATTTTAATGAATGAAATGTATTTCTTTTTGTACGTACTGTCATCCTGCTGTTTGTGCTGTTGCTGCTGCTTGGACGGCTCGAGTCTGCCGTAGTATGCTTATAGACTTGCGGTAAATTAAACAGCTTGAAGACGATTAATTTTATTGTTGTATTAAACGTGGCACACTCTACCCTTTCAATCGTTGACAAATAATAAAATATTTTTCTTTTGTGTTTGTGCTGTGATTTAGGCAATCGATGGAACTCGATAGTTGTGTTCCGTTGAATTTATCGATGTATCGATATTGAATAAGAAATCTGGCAGCACCGTATAAATACTTTTAAATAATAATAATTATTATTTTATCTACTACTCATTTTTTGATATTATTTATTTTTGGCAAATGTTATTAGATACCAATTCTTACACACGTTTTGGGCATGCACCAAATCTATAAACCACTTGATGATCATATAATTGACCCGGATTAACAATAGTCGTTGGGAAATCCGAGTTGTTCATCGCATCAGGATATTTTTGAGTCCGCAAGCTGAATGCACCGTGTTGTGCATAATGAGTACCGCCCTTCCCAACATTGGGAATATCTCCGCGCTCTTCTTCGGGCAAAGAGTTTGCTGTATAGAAATGCAGTCCAGGTTGATTGGTATGAATTTCCATAAATCGACCCGAACATGGATGAACCGCGCGGGCAACTAACTTCACTAGATTTGGATCTACATCCACGCAGTAGTTGTTATCAAACCCGCTAATTGGACAACGATAAACCTGATTAAGTCGTTTTCCCAAATTGGTTAACGTGGTAAAGTCATAGGGAGTATTACGCACTGGCATTATTTTGCCAGTGGGAATCTGTTCAAGATCCGTATCCACAAGCGAATTCGCCTTTATCATTATCATATGTTGGAGGAGTGTGTCCCTACCCGTACTGTGACCTGCTAGATTAAAAAGACAATTGTGACCAATGTTGATGCAGGTGGTGTCCTTCGCACGCGCCTCTATCCGCAAGCCCAAGCAACCCGTTTCATTAAGTGAATAGTTAATATTGACTGTTATCTCGCCCGGATAGCCCTCGTGCCCGTCCGGTGAAACATGCTGCAAAGTAACACCATCCTTGTGTATGCCAACCACATCCCAGATTACGCTATCAAAGCCCACATAGCCGCCATTCAGATGGTAAAGATCCTTGTAGTTTCGAGATAGATTTATATCTTTGCCACACAGCTTGAATTGGCCGCGTGACACTCGATCCGCCACTCGTCCAACTATAGCCCCAAAATACAATTTTTGGTTACGGTAATAACCGGCGACATCATCATAGCCTAGACAAACGTCTTCCAGCTTGTTATTAGCGTCTGGCACCTTGATGCTTTGTACAATACCACCCAATGTTAATATAGCCACGGACATGCCCTTTTCCGTAAACAATGTGAAACGGCGCACATGATCGGTTTTTTGGGTCATGGGATTAACTGCGATTCCAAATACATCTTCCACTACTCTTACCATATTTATGGGATGCAAAATTTAAGCTTTCAAGACAAAACTACAATTTCGAATATCATGAGTCAAAATAAAATTTAAAATGTAATTAATTGTATAGTCGATCGCTCAAAACATACGAATTTAGAAAAGCCAACTTGAACGCTAAATATAAAAAGTACATTTAGCCTACATTAAATCTCTTTCTAACTAAAAGGATTTTTTTTAAATACTTGAACTTAAACATTTCCAAATTAAAGTTGGCGTCCGATATAGAAATATCGATACATAAATTCGAAATATACTCGATATGAGTAATGATCAGCTGAGCGCAATCTATTTAGAATTGTATAGTCTTTTTAACGTAAATTTGAAAGCATCGTTAAGTGGACAGTCACAGCGATATTCAGAAAACAAAATAAATATTAAATAAAACTAAATAATAAAAAAACTAATTTGTAATATTCAAACATTTAACAACATATCGATTAAAATCATTAAGGTATTATCAATAACAATAAGGTATTAATTATGGTTATTTTAAACTCCTTTTGAAGGATCTTTAACTAATTAAATATAAAAAAAATTTTCGAATTTTGTTTTTGACATGACTTAATTTAAATGATTTAATTTAGAATAATGTCGCAAATTATAAGTTATCTATATAAAATAGAAATCTGGTATATCGGTCAACATATTCATTGATTAATAACGTCTTTACAAGCATTTAAAGCGACCTCAAACTAAAATATTTAAGGCTTATTTAAGGCTTAAGTGGAAAATAGTATTATTAATCATCTATATTTAAACGGGAAATTTTACGTTTTTAAAAAAATTAAGAGTTTCCAAAAATAAATCCAAAAATTTACCAAAGTCAATGACAAAATTGCTTACATATGTTACTAGGTTTGTAATAATTAAGGAGTAGTAACATGAAGATTAATAAGATGGCAGAACTGTCTTTAGAATTCTTTTCTTGATCAGACCATATGTTATTAAAATAATTATACAAATCTACATGGCATAAATCATATCAATATTGATTCGTTTGAATGTTCGTCACCTATAGTGGCTAAAACGAAAACGGTTGCAAATGGTACAAAATCGATAACATCGATAACAATATGTTAATCCCTTTACATTTCAGTTAGATTTAATTTAGTGTTCAAATGGATAAATTCTTTGCATCACATAGCTTTGGCTCGACTTATATTGTAAATGACATAGCTTACTGTTGTTGTGACATTTGCTTGACGTTTAAGCAAAAAATCAGATGTGGGCGATTCAATATTCAATGGAACTTCCACAATTTCAATGCCATAATTTTATACCATTATGAATACTCAAAATATATTTACTATTCAATTGGAACCAGAGGACACATCGGAGAAAGTTGTGGTGAGCGTCGGCAAAGGCCATTGCTGAGTAACTTTCTGAATCAGGCCTGTTTTTGTATAGCCGCCGAATGAGTGGGAAATTTTACGGGATAATGCCTGCAGTACAATTTCTCAGCTGAAGAAAATTAAATTTTCGGTATACAAGGAGAAGCTAAATTTATACAGCGAGAAATGTAAAATCAAAGATGACGTCATCATGGCTCTTCAAACATGTTTGGAAACGTATAAGAACACTAATGAGAACAATAATGAGCTGGTATCATTCCTAAAGGCGAAACTCGCTGAAAGGCATTCAAAAATAGTCGCATTAAAGAAAGAGCAAGATAGTCTAAGCGTTAGCTACGAATCAACCATTCGCGAGAAAAACGAAGTGATCAACACACAATATGCCATCATTATAGAAAAGGAGAAACATATCGAGGAGTTAGAAAACAAAATTAAGGAGCAATGCGAATTAACTATTAGGTCAGATGAAGAGGTTTCCTCGCTAAAAGTAACTATTAACGATAGTGAGATGAAAATCAGGGAACGAGATCAGAAAATTTCACTACTCGAAAGTAAGTTAGCAACCAATGCGGAAAGAGTGAGGGCAACTCAAAATCTGGTAAGCAATGGGAGAATCCAGCCCAATCTGGCTTTATCAATCTATCAGCTATTCTTTTTAATCCTTATGCAAGCTTAAGTTTGATGCCGCACTCATGCTATGTAAGCAAAATGATCGTTTGATCGGCTGCACAATCAAAGAACTGCAGCAGATCCTTTGTGGGGAAAAAAGAACCGAAATTAAAATCATGTCCCTGCCCCGCATTGGTCCAATCAAGGTAGCTGTTGAAAATGTCACAACTGGCCCCAGCTGGATGGTCATTCAGCGTCGTGGTTATAAAATGGTAGACTTCAATCAAGGCTGGTTTTCTTTTGTGGAGGGCTTCGGCAACTTAGACGAGGATTATTGGATCGGCCTGGACAAGATACATGCAATGACCAAAGGTCACATGCATGAACTCTACATCCATTTGGTATTTGCCAATAAGGAAACTCGATATGCCTATTATGACAACTTTGCCATTTCTGGCAAAAGCGATGACTATAAGCTGAGATCGCTCGGCAATTATGTTGGAAATGCTGGCGACGGACTGCGCACACACGAGCACCATATATTCAGGACCATTCGGTATGATACCAAAACCACCGTGGAATACAACCGCTGGTGGCAGCATGAGTATCCCAATTGGTAAGGAGAAATATATCTTCCCAACTTATTTGTATTCATCTCAATTATAAACTGTGCAACTGCAGCAATTTGAATGGAACATTCAATGAAAAAACTGAATTTGGTGTATGGTGGTGCAGAGGAAATGGCACATATAAATTTGTGGAATCTGTACAAATGTTAATTAGGCGAAAGCAAGTGTAATTTTAAAACGTCAATCAAATCATTTTTTGTTGTTTTATTATTATTATATATGTATATATATTTATCAAAATTTTCAAATAATGAAGCTATTAAAAAAAAGCCAAAATAAATTGGTCAATTTTAGATCAAAAACTTGCAGATAAATTGTGGGCCGACGGTGAATATTTGAATGGGTTCAACAGTAACAGGTTTGTATGTAATACGCCAAATAAAGCTTTGCATAAAGTGTATACATCTTGATTAAGGCGACGAGCTGACTCGATCTAGCCATCTCCGTCTGATTGTCCGTACGCCCGCATAAATCTCGAAAGCCTTTAAAGCTGAGGACTGCAAATTTGAAATATATATTCCTGTTTGGCGCACGCAGTTTGAGTTTAATTTTTTTTCATAAGATCCCATTGAGAAGTTGCTATTAGAGAGAAATTAAAAATAATTCATGAGCAACTGTCAAACAACTAAGAGTGCTCGAGAGATACCACGGGAAGAGTTGATATTTCAATCATTCTACTCTTCTCTTACTGATATGTAATTTCAAACAATACCCTCACACACACATACGCAGCCCATATCTTGGGATTTGCTGTCGAAACTTAATTGTGTAAGCTGTGCTGCAGGCAGAGCTCCTGCTTATGTGTGCGAGTGTTGCAAGCCGTGTGTGTAAAAGAAGCTTATGACGATTGGAATATCAGCTCTTAGTCCAGCCGTCTCGACTCCTCTCTTTCGCACAATTTAATTTGTTAGGGCACTTTGAGCTATCAGCAAACAACGGCATTTTACACAAACCATAAAACCCTCGAGTTTATTAACTGCTTAAGAAAATACATGTACATGAAATTATATTAGGCGGGGCCAAGCATGTTTTCCGGGCGTACCCATTCGTCGAAATCTTCTTCCGAGATGCCAGCATTGATGGCCTCCTGCTTCAGAGAGGTACCATTCTTATGAGCTTCCTTGGCTATTTTGGCTGACTTATCATAGCCAATGTGAGGATTGAGTGCTGTCACCAGCATCAGAGACTCGTTCACATGCTGTTGAATCCGCTCCTTGTTCGGCTTCATTCCAACAACGCAGTTCTTGGTGAATGTGTTACAGCCATCCGCTATATGAGACAAACACTTAGTCTAACATTCAAAGAGATTGGGATAGCAAAATACTTAGCAGCCTTATCGAACGTATGACGTTGGACGCTATCAACGGCTTAAAAACATTCAGCTCGAAGTGCCCATTGGAGCCGCCCACAGAGACGGCTACATGATTACCCATGACCTGAGCACAGATCATAGTCAACGCCTCGCATTGAGTGGGATTTACTTTGCCCGGCATTATCGAGCTTCCTGGCTCGTTCTCTGGCAAAGAGAGCTCGCCCAAGCCGCAGCGCGGCCCTGAAGCCAGGAATCGTATATCATTGGCAATCTTCATGAGGCTTACGGCAATGGTGTTCAATGCGCCATGCACCTCGACCATGGCATCCCTGGAGCCCAAGGCCTCAAAGAAATTCGGAGCACTCACAAATGGCAAAGATGTGAGCTGGGCAATGCGACTGGCGGACTTCTCTGCGAATCCCTTGTAGGTATTGAGACCGGTGCCCACGGCGGTGCCACCCAGAGCCAGTTGATAGACATGAGGCAATACCGCATCGATTCGCTCCAGCCCATTGGTTAACTGCTGTGTATAGCCGCTGAACTCCTGTCCCAATGTCAGTGGCACCGCATCCTGTGTGTGTGTGCGTCCAATTTTGATAATGTTCTTCCAATCCATAGACTTAGCCTTGAGAGCGTCGCGCAGCTCAGTGATCGCTGGCTTCAGGTCCTTGACCAGCTGAAGAGCCACTGAAATGTGTAAGGCTGTTGGGAAAGTGTCATTCGAGCTCTGGGACTTGTTCACATGGTCATTGGGATGCACCGGATCCTTAGAGCCCATCTCACCACCATCTTTCTCAATGCAACGATTGCTAATCACCTCATTGACATTCATGTTCGTCATTGTGCCAGATCCCGTTTGCCAAATGGGCAGTGGAAAATGACCCTCATCGTACAGCTTGCCCGAGATGATGTCATCACAAACAGTCGAAATAGATGTGCCGATCTTGCTGTCCAGCCCAAACTCCTTATTGACCTCAGCGGCGGCCTTCTTCAATATGCCCATGGCCTGGATAATGGGCTTCTGTAAAGGTAATGTGAGCATAAAGACCTCATTTCTGTGTGTCGCTTCAGTAGTTACCGGCATGCGTTCAGCCATTTCGCTACAGGGAAAATTGTTCAGACAACGCATAGTCTGGGCCCCAAAGTAACGATCAGCTGGCACCTCGATTTGCCCGATCGTGTCGCTCTCAACGCGACTCTTCGGCTGACTCATCTTGTCTTGTTTATATGTATTATATGGAACACAGCGTCTAGAAATATAATTATAAAAATTTAAAGCCAAGCCTACCTCACCTTAGAGTATTTCTTTCAAGTATCTCATATTAGAATGTTAGTGTTAGTCGGTGCCAGTGATCGTCGACAATCTCAGCAGCCATTCGCATGGCAAATTTTGAAGTTCAGCTCTAGAATTGTACAAGAGACAGTTATGGCTTGGATCCATTCCCATCCTTATCCCTTTCACATTTCTATTCTTGGCTTATAGTATAGCATACTATATATATATATAGTCTGTAACACGACCCGAAATAGTTTTTCCCAGAGGGTAACCACGAGTAAATGTTCCAAGCTTCAAGTCTATAGCTTCAATAGCGGCGATACAGACAGACGAACGAAGAGCATGAAGGACATTGGTCAATTCCAATATGGACATAAATAAACTGAAGTTAATTTTGGTTACTTGGAATACTTTATTGAGCTTTAAAATCAATTAGTTATTTTTGTCATTTCTCATTGGTATATTCATTTGGGCCCAACATTTTATCCAACTGCAGCCAGTTATCAAGGTCGGCATTGGATATGCCTTTCTTGTAAGCCTCCATCTTCACGGTGGTACCATTTGCGTGCGCTAGGTTAGCTATTTCGATTGTCTTCTCTAAGCCCACATACGGCTCAAGTGCAGTGGCCATGACTAGAGATTGATTTAAGGCCTTCGTTATGTTCCCTTTGTTCGCCTGGATGCCCTTGAGGCAACTGTTGGTAAATTCATTCAAGCCGTCGCTCAATAGAGCGATGGAACGTAACACATTTGAGGCGATCAAGGGCATAAAGGCGTTGAGCTCGAAGTGTCCGTTGGAACCACCAATGGACACGGCAACTTGGTTGCCCATCACCTGTGCACAAATCATAGTCAACACATCGCACTGCGTGGTATTTACTGTGCCCGGCAATACTGAGCAGTCTATCTCTCCCTCCGGCAACGAGAGCTCGTTAAATCCACAACGTGGGCCGGAACCCAAGAGCCGTATATCATTAACAATCTTCATGAGACTGACAGCAATGCTGTTCAGTTCGCCATGAAATTCGACCATTGAGTCCCGTGCACTGAGCGCTTCAAAGAAGTTGGGTGCCGCAACGAAAGGCGACCCCGTGATGTCCGCAATATTAGTGATGCATTGAGCTCCGAACTCCTCGTTGCAAGATGTACATGTGCAGGCCGAGCTACTGACAGAAATTTCATATAATCTCTGGATGCACGAGTTGAGTCTCAAGCTGTTGTTGATCATCATTTGCTTGTAGCTGCCGAACACGTGTCCCAGGGTCAAGGGATCTGAGTCCATGAGATGAGTGCGTCCGATCTTAATAATATTGCTGAACTCCTGCTCCTTATTTTGTAGGACCTCTATGACGCCCTTCAGCGAAGGCAAGAGCTTATCATTCAGTTGCATGATAACGGCAATATTGATGGCAGACGAGAAGCTGTCGCTGCAGTTCTGAGACATGTCGACATGCTCTACGGGACTCACTGGCTTGTTGCTGCCCAGCTGACCGCTCAGTATTTGATTGGCGCGGTTGCCAATCACTTCGTTGACATTCATGTCGGACGACTTGCCCGAGCCCGGCTGCCAAATGACCAACGGGAAATGGTTCTCATCGTACAGCTTGCCGGATATAACATCATCGGCAGCTTTCAGAATGGCATCGCAGATAGTCGGATCCAGCCCGCTCTGCCTGTTAACTTGGGCGGCGGCCTTCTTTATGATGCCCAAGGCTATGATTATGGGGCGCTGCAGGGAACAGCTGGCGGCATCTTATACTGACTAGCTTAATCAGAGGCGCCTACTTACCGGCATGCGCTCCTCCATGCCACCTATATCGAAATTCATTGCCGAACGCATTGTATGCGGCCCATACAAACGATCCACGGGCACATTTATTGCCCCCATCTCATCGTATTCGAGCCTTGTATCCGCCTCGGTCAGACGCGCCAGTTTGTACATCAGAGTAAACATTTCCTTTTGATCGAAAGACATCTTAAACTACTAAGAGGGCCCAGCTATGTTTGTACGTATTGTGGAAAGTCCGAAAGAATTGTGTATACAGACTACTGGGATCTAAGGGTAGAAGATAATATATGTCAATCTATATTTATTTCTTATATATTCAATATAAATTGCAGAGGCTTCTATAAACTATTTCTACTACTTATATACTATGGGCTGCTTTATAATCAGTTGATTGTAGAAAGAGCTGGTCATGCTATGACATGTCTTATACTTATATTTATTGTATAATCAATTTCTAGCGCTGTATCTTCAGCAGAGTTGAAGAAACTTGCATATCCCTTATCTAGATTTTAAAACACATTTAATTCTATCAAAGTGTCAGCTCTTTTATTAATTTATTTATTATTACAACAGCAATTCCAGGATTGCTCGACGACAAACTTGAACATGACTTCATGCATGTACTTTTCGGTGGGGCTGAGAAAGACCGAGGGGAATTCGGTATATTGATGGTTGACAGCGTCCGGAAATTTTTCGGTTTCCACACAAAATGAGCCGTGCTTGCAATAATGTGAACATTCCTTACCAATCATGGGTGCATCACCATTCGCCTCGTCTGGCAAATTGTTTGCCGTGTAGAACTGCAGACCTGGCTGATTGGAATAAATTTCCATGGTTCGGCCGCTGGGTGGATGCTTCAGCTTTCCAATCAGATTGACGCCATTGTCCATGCCCTCGTTAACAACAAAGCAGTTGTCATATCCCTTGATTTTACGATCATCGAACTGCTTGAGCCGATCTCCCAGCAAGACGGGTATGCGCATATCAAAGACCGTGTCATCTACATTTAAGAATTTACCGGTAGGAATTTGGTCGTCGTCCGTATCGATAATCCTTGAGGACATAATCTCCACTGTATGCTCAGTCAGCCCCTTGACGCCTGCATTATGACCAGCTAAATTGAAGTAGGCATGATTGGACAAGTTGATGGGAGTCACTTTGTCTGTAAGCGCCTCGTAGCGTATACCCAGATGGTTCTGCTCGTCCAGCCAATAGGTTACTGTGACAGTTAGATTGCCCGGGTATCCCTCGTGCCCATCGGGTGATATGTGCCTAAAGGTAATACCCAAATCTGATTTGCGTGCCACCTCCCAGATAACGCTATCGAAGCCAACAAAGCCTCCGTGAAGCTGATACGTGTCCTTGAAGTTCTTGGTTAGCTCGAACTTGGTCTCCCCCAGAGAGTACGAACCATTGGCCACACGATTTGCCACACGGCCCAGAGTGCCGCCAATGTACGCTTTTTTGGCATTAACATAACTGGCAATGTCATCAAAACCAAGACACACATCTTCAATCTTATTATAAGCATCCGGCATACGTACGCTCTGGATGATAGCGCCGAGTTGTATGACCGAAACGGACAACTTGTTCCGATTGGTCATTGTAAAGCGGCGCACCATTTCGGGTGCATTGGTAAAGGGATTCTTCGCCAGGCCAAAGATTTCTTCCGTAATTGTAACCGACATTTCCTGACGCTGTTGTTGGCTCCTGGTTTAGCTAACAAATTTGATAGGTTCTTACTCGAAAAACAAAATAACAATAACTGCCTGACAGTCTGACACACACCTTATATTATTGTACTTGAATTCCGTAAAGGTCGCGCGATGGTGCTCCAAAGTCAAAAAGGGCAATAGATGCCGCTCGCCGGCGCTCTATAAACTGATGCATTTTGCAATGCAAGTGCTATTTTTTATTGTTGAAGAACGACGTTGCTGATAAGCTCATAGATCTGTATGCATGTATATGAGAGTTGTGTAACTCAGGTAGTAGTTGTTTAGCACTCGCTCTCTCTCTCTCTCTCTGGAAATATATAGTGTCAGCAAACCTAAATTGTATATAATTTGATACATAACATAATGCACATGTATTCGTGCATTCTATGTACGTGTTGCAGTTATATACTTGTAAATTTTGTTTAAAATACACACGTTTTTTGACAGTTATAAATCAATATTTAATATCGATACACATTAGCCAGTAGTAAACAGAAGTATATTTACATAAATCCAACAACAAGTTAAATGCCTGCTATCTGCTTAGTCTTTTATCAATAAATAGTATATACACAGGCCCATTTAACGATAAGCCCACCTGTTTGGCAGAAGTTATTTACATCCTTATATACGACTGCATTTTAGTACTTATTAATATTAAACAAACGAACACCATGGAACTGCGGTAACTTCGGCAGCGTGACCACCACCAAGGATATGAAATTTGCAATGAAATGTTCGGTACTGTTACGGGTGTACAGGCAAGTGAGAAGGAATCTGCAACAAATGTAGTTCGATTAGAAATTACCAATATCATATCTATAAAATACTACATACAAAACAATTGGCACAGCAGTTAGAAATTTGCGCGTTGGAGTTAATTGAACGCCGTCATCTATTTGTTCCCAGTGTGTCCATTGCCGACTGCCGTCATTCTCGATACTTAGCCAAGGAGCTCCTTTAATGATGTGTAGAAAATACAAGTGTGCCTGTAAAAAGTCAGTTAATAATTATGGTATGTTCCGTGTAATTTGTATGGGGCATCAATACTTACTACATTGTGTAGCAAATTGGTCGCTGTCCAGGCTACAGAAATTGTTACAAAGGGCACTGATAAGAGCAGTAAATGCACAAAGAGTAATCCAAGAAAATAAGCAAGCCAAAAGCCACGCGCACTTAGCCAAGAGCTATTTGGATTTGTCTCCCCGTGTCCTCCTGCAATTGATGTCATTTTTGTCTGGAGTTGCACTTTAGTCGCTGCGAATTTCGGTAATTGTTTTATAAAATAGAGATGATAGCTCTACGAAATACAAGAATTACTATTAGCTATCGATTATTGGATCGCATATTTATATATCGATATTAAAATATTTCATTGTATCTGAACTTGTTCAGTTCATAAAAAATTCTCGTACTTTGCAATGAATGGCATATTTTTCAATGCTGTGAAACAGATAAATATAAGATTTACATCAAAGAAACTTTTTAAAGTACAGTTTAACTTTGTAATGTGTTATTGAAGCAATATAATAAAAAACTTTAAAATGAGTGGCAGCCATTCGAAAAATAGTAGCGGAGGTAAGTACTTCAAGAGCAAAGAATGTAAAGATTTTTCGTCTAATTTACACTGATACATGCAGCCGGCTATAACAGCCAAGCACCCATCACAATGCCCATACCAAGCATTGAGGAAAAAAACAAGCAAATGCAACAGGAGACGCTTATGGAAAAGCTACGTGCCAAGTACCGCAACAAGCCAAAGAGCTTCGAGGATATCAAGAAATCTGTGCGCATGTACTTCATAGAAAAGCACTATCCGCTGGACCCGCTTTGCAAGGCAGCGCTACAGTCGGCATTAGACAAGCTGCAGCACTACATCAAAGTAACATCCCGACACGGTCTTGTGGAGCGTTTGGAGAGTCTGTCTCGCCAGCTGGGTCTCAAATTCATGGAAGATCAGCAAATGCTATTCATTTCAACAGACATGTTCTACGTGGAGATCCTGCTTGATGCCAGTGGAAACCTTAGTGATGTCAAGGTCCACCACGAGTGTAAAATTGAGCAGCAATCTAATTCGAGTGCCAGTTCCTCAGAGTTGCTTAATTGCCTGAAGGCAGGCGACTTCGCAGACTTTACAGTCCAGCTGGAGGGCCTATCGTCCATTTACCAACTGAACGCCGAGCCGAAAGTCAAGAAAAAAGCCTTTGTAGCGCTACAGGCCATGGAAACGGACATTTTCAGCCTCTATCAGCACCAGCTGCAGCAACAACTTAGCAGCAGCAGTGACAGTTACTACATCATGAATAACTCATCGGTGGGCTTGGTCCTACCGCGTCGCGGAGGACATCCCATGAAGCTGACCTACTTCTGTCCGCCTCTTCACCTCATCGAGAAAAAGGTGAAAGGCGAGAATGTGCCCACTTCCAGTGGAACTGCAAGCAAGGACTTAAGCATTGAGCAGGTCATAAAAAGCCCCAACGGACTCAGCGCCACGCTAAATCTCGAAGCCTCGTCTGCTAACAAGCTGCAAATTCTGCCTATTGTCAGTTGCAGTAGTGAGTCTGGGCTGCCTCTAGAGCAACCCGTCTATGCGCCGCTCACGCAGAACAATTCAATGCTGATGCCGGCTACCTATGTTCTGCGTCTCAGTAAACCCATGCCCGTCTGCATAGAGTCACTGCGAGCTTTGGGTCTCCCTGGCCTTTCAAACGTAGCAAACGAGGAAGCTACGACAGTAATGAATCTAATTGTGCAAACGGCCTCAAGGCACTTAATAAAGAACACCCAGAAAGGCTTGTATGTGAATCTTCCGAAGGAGACGCACTGCTACTTCTTCACAGACAACCGCAGGCTGAAGGGCACTCTGATATCGTCGCTGCCATTCACTGAGCCTGCGCAGGTACTTAAAATAATTGCGTTCCTCAAGAAGCAGGCGCTCTTCTACACGCTCCTCTCCAGCTGCGTCAGGGAGCAACAGAAACAATACAATGGTGTGTAGCACTTATAAGAAAAAGAATAGTGTAAAATCTAATATCCGTTTGCATTTATTACAGACATGGACAGCACGGTCATTTTGGAAGTAACTGCTGTTTCGCTCAGTCAGATCACAGTGGAATTGCAGCATCCGTACGAGGAGTCGCTCGCCACGGTTGATTTTCTGCTGGAGGACGGCCAGGCAACTTGCACCATTTACTGCCTCAGCAATGAGTATGAAGAGCTCTCCCAGAAGCTTACTAGAACAGTGCGTCAGGTGCTCTCAATTCCGATGGTTATATATAAGTTGCTTAAGTGCTGGGATGAGGAGCATGAGCAAAAGCTGCATGGCAGTTTGGCCCCTGGAGCTGGCACAGGGAGTGGAACAGCGGGTGGACTAGGCAGGAAAGGAGGAGGTGGAGTTGGAGGTGGAAGTGGCGGAATGCATGGAACAAGTAACTTCGGACAGTTCGCAATTGAAGCAGCAGGAGAGGGCGGGATCGGAACTAGCGGCGGATTCAGTAGCCTTTCCAATCTTAAAATTGACTCCAAGGTTCGTTCCCTAGCTGATGCATTCGCTGCATCTACTTCGGCTGCTGCGGCCATTGCGGGCCTCATGAGTTTGAAGCGTGAAACCGATCCTCAATCAACTGGAGCAAATAGCCCTGTTCTCCCCTCCTGCTCTGGCTTGGAGTCCAAGGCCAGCGACCATGAGATCGCCGACAAGTACAAAAATATTTGGAAAGATAAAACGCCCAACCTGAAGCACTGCGTCAGCATCACTCCCATTGCTGGCGATGGAAAATCGCCGCTGCAGCAACAGGTGGACGTGCAGCGTACGGGCGGAATTGAAATCATCCCACTGAATGCGCCAGCCAATGTGGGCAGCTCTCCGAGCACGGGGTCTCCGGCTACAACAATCACCATCACACCCATCACTGGAGGTGGCAAAGAGACGAGCAAAGAGGCAAAAAAGCCAATTTCCAGTGGAAATGCTACTAAACGGCCTCATGAGGTCACCTCTTCGAACCCGAACAGTAGCACTTGCGGTAGCACCTCCAGCGATGCGCAGAAGGAAAAGAAACGCAAGAAGAAGCGAGATGACTCGCCCATGGGGCCTCCTGAGAAGGTATATTCACGGCAGAACTCGCCTGCGGCTGGCGGGATGGTGGATTCTTCGGCAGGAAGCGGCGTTGTGCGCAAGTTTTCGTCGCCCTCTACTTCGTCATCATCCTCGCCCAAGGGAGGGAGCGCTGCAGCTGCAGCGGCTCTGGGTCTGATGGCCGGCCAACCGTCGGCACGTCCCAGTCCGAAGCACTCTCCTGTGTACAGCAGCCCAAAGCACAACAGCAGCAGTAACACTGCCTCGAATAGCCCCAAATCGCCATTCGGCACCCTCTCGCCCAAGCATGGGTCCTCCGGCAAACCGAGCATGTCCACTCTCAAAAGTGCAACAGCGGCCACCAGTCTCAGTCTCAGTCCAAAGGGCGAGAAGTCCATGACAACAGGCGCCGGAAGTGGTTCCAGCTCTACTCACGCCATTCCTTTGGCTGCTGCTGGTTCTGGCTTGGGGTCCAGTGGTAATCCTTCCATGCTGCGGCCCGTGCCACCGCTGGCTAGCAGCAGCCAGTTGCCTGCTGCTATAAAAAAAGACAAATCCATCGCCAGCAGTTCCACATCTGTTGCACCACCGGGAGTCGCGGCTGCAGTAGCTGCGCTGAAGAGCTCCCAGCAGCAACAGCAGCAGCAGCAGCAACAGCAACAACTGAAGTCATCTGTGGCCAGCTTATCGCATCTAGCCGCAGGTGGAAATCTGGGCAGCTATGGGGCTCCAGCCGTGGCCGCCTTGGAGCTGAATGCACTACGCAAGGGAATGGCGGGAGCGGGAGTGGGATCGGGATTGGGCGCAGCTGCGGGAGCGGTAGGTGCGGTAAGTCCGTTTTCAATTTATGAGTAGCTCTCCTGTGCCCACCAACTCAACCGCCACCAACTCAACCTCCACCTGCACCTCTAACCCCTAGTTGATTATCTGTTTCCATTTTGCATACCACTAAAACTTTGATCTGAATGCAAAATATAAAATGAATAATTGTAATAATTTATTTATATTACTATTATAATTAATACTGTCACTGCTGTAGTTTTTGTTTTAATTCGATCTACTGTATGTTCTGTTTGTAAATATATTTACTTTTATTACCTATTTTCTAACTGCATCCGTGTTATTTGGTCTTATTAATCCCTGTGATGGGCTCTATTGCTTCAGTAGTCCCCAAAACAATCCCTCCATTGCAATATAATATATATTTTATGTAGTTTCTTTGCACTTTGCACGTTTCTTCTCAATTTGAGTACAATATTTATCCTCTTTCATGATGATCTATTGTTAATGTGATTTAATATGTAATGTGGAGTAGAGGATGTCTCGGATCATCTGGGCATACCTTATGTAAGGTTTTTGGGACCACTGACAAACTTTATACTAACGAGTTACTCTCTCTCTCTCTCGCTCTACCTATACACTTGCTGCGGTCTTGGCATGATTCGGGACATTAACCCTCAATCGACACTGCGCTACTTTTTGATTACTTTAATTTGCGTTTTCGGTTCGTTTTTCATTTGTTTGTCTCCACACACACACACGCACACGACCACGCGCTTCCTTTGTCAGGTTAGTTCGATGACGTCGACAGCAGCTTCGACGGCAACCATCCAAACCACAACAGCAGCGGATTCATCGGGCACCGCAACAGCAGTGGTGGAAGCGGGAGCGGCACTGGGAGCAGCACATGCAACAACAACAACAGCAGCAGCAACAACAACAACACAGCAGCAGCAGCCGCAGCGAGCAGTGCCACATAGTACCGACAATTCTAGTTGTACGAGCGGCAGCTCCACTACGGGAGCAGTCTCTGGCCTCTCCACGGGATACATGGTGAAGCCAAGCAGCCAGGAAGGCCTTAAACTGACCATCAATAAAACGAGTAGCGGGAAGAGAGAAAGCAAAGGCGGAGCAGCTGGGTCATCCGCGACCTCGACTTCGTCGTCCTCCACTAGCAGCAAGAAGCAACACACGGGCTTAAAGCCAGGCGTCAACAGCGGACCAGCCTCGAAGAAGGCGCTTTCATCGGCTTCCAGTACAGGGGCAAGCAGTTCCAGTTCGAGCAAACATCTCTTTCAGAAGGCGAACTCCTCTGGGAATCTGAGCAGCAAACTTTGCGGCTCCTCGTCTTTAGGCAGTGGTTTGCCTTTAACAAAGAGCAACAGCACCAACTCCTTCCAGGAGCATAGTGTGCCTAAGCGCCGGCCCAGTATGTGTAGTCCGGGAACTAGTGGAGGCGGTGGAGGTGGATCGCAGCGCAAGTCATCATTAACGGGCCATGGATCAGGATTGGGACCGGGAGGGGGAGCTGGTAGAATGTCACCAGCAGCGTTGAGCGGGTCGATGTCACAGCCACCGCCGCGCTTCGATCACCACACAGACATGATGACCATTCTACAATACGCCTCGCCCACCATGGCAGCCAGCATGGAGGGCTTCATCAAGGGACTGCACAACAAGTTTCAGATACCCAAATTGTCGCAGCGGCCAAGTGGCAACAATGGCGGAGCTGGACAGACTACCAGCACCACAGATCCATCGTTAGCAGCAGGAACAGCAGCTTCGTCTTCCTCCTCAGCCTCCTCGCTGGAGCAGCAACAGCAGCAGCAGCAGCTTAACGTGGATTTAAATGCCTTAGCAACCAGCCTGACGACTACATCGAATAGCAGCAGTGGAGGGCAGAAGCCATCGACAGCTTCCTCTGCAACGAGCGATATGCTGCTCAACCTGACAAGCACTGGCACAATAGGATCAGGTGATGGCATCGACGAGGAGCTGCTCGCCAGCTTGGCAGGCGAATGACAGCTCGAGATGGTTCAACCACTCTTTGCAATCCCAACTTAGTTCAAATAATGTGTTAAAGGCCTTTGGCTGCTTTCTGACAATGAGCTGTTGATTTTTAAATGTCAAATAGAATAAGAATTAAATATTTAACAAATTTATCCACATTCAATTGTTTATGTTGATTCACCAGAAGACAAGACGTCCATAGTATAATTTAGGATGTAAAAACTATGAAGCTAAATATTTATATTGATTTAGCATTTCGCCTAAACTAGGATGGCATATAAACCGCATTTAGTTTTTTAATCGATCGAAGGATCGCGCCAAGAGAAATAAATGCTTTCTACAATAATGAATTTAAATACCAAATTTCGATTGTTGCAAAAACGCAGATTAATCGTATATCGGTGGCTTAATAGCTCTGGTAACACAGATGGAAATGCGCAACATGTGGTATTTTTTTCGCATTAATAGGAAATTGCAATTAGTGGAGGGTGGTGTTGATTGTTGATCCGTGGAATTTTCGAAAAAAAAAGAAAAATGTCTACCAGTTACGACGGATACAAGTCTCCTTTGAGTACACGATACGCCAGTAAGGAGATGCAGTTCCTGTTCAGTGACCAGAACAAGTTCTCAACCTGGCGGCAACTGTGGGTTTGGCTAGCCAAGGCGGAACATTCACTTGGCTTAGCCATAACCGAAGAACAGATAGCTCAGATGGAGCAGCACATAAAGGATATAGATTTCGAAGCGGCAGCTGCCGAGGAGGGTCTCACCAGGCACGATGTTATGGCGCACGTGCACGTCTTTGCCAAGCAATGCCCGGTGGCCGCACCGGTCATTCACCTGGGTGCCACTTCGTGTTATGTGGGTGACAATACGGATCTCATTGTGTTGCGCGATGCATTGCAACTGCTATTGCCGCGCGTGGCAACCGTTGTAGGAGGCCTGCAACAATTCGCCGAGACCTACAAGGACCTGCCGACTCTAGGCTTTACTCATCTGCAACCGGCACAGCTGACGACAGTTGGCAAACGTGCCTGCCTCTGGATCCAGGATCTACTAATGGATGAGCGTGCTCTGCGACGCTGTCTTGAGGATCTGCGCTTCCGCGGCGTGAAGGGCACCACAGGTACGCAGGCTTCGTTCATGGAGCTCTTCAACGGTGATAGCCAGAAGGTGAAACAACTGGACAAGCTGGTAACACAACTGGCGGGTTTCAGCAAGCCCTACGCCGTCACCGGTCAAACATATTCGCGCAAAGTGGATGTAGAGGTGATGGGTGCCCTGGCCAGCCTAGGCACTACTATTCATAAAATGTGCTCTGACCTGCGCATTCTTGCCTCACGGAAGGAGCTGGAGGAGCCATTCGAGACCACACAGATTGGCTCATCGGCAATGCCTTATAAACGCAACCCTATGCGCTCGGAACGCTGCTGCGCACTGGCTCGACACTTAATCACATTGTTTAGCAATGCGGCAAATACACACGCGACGCAGTGGTTGGAGCGTACTCTGGATGACTCGGCCAATAGAAGGCTGACGTTGTCGGAGGGCTTCTTGGCTGCTGATGCAGCTCTGCTCACGCTGCTGAATATCTCCCAAGGACTGGTTGTCTATCCCAAGGTCATTGAGCGCCACATCGCTCAAGAGCTACCATTTATGTCCACGGAGAACATTATTATGGCAATGGTAAAGGCTGGCGGAGATCGGCAAGTGTGCCACGAGAAGATTCGAGTTCTCTCCCAAGAAGCCGGTGCTCAGGTTAAGCAGCTTGGCAAAGATAACGATCTGATAAACCGCGTGCGCAACGACTCCTATTTTGCACCCATTCTGGATCAGCTCGACCACATACTGGATGCTCGCACCTTCACGGGTCGTGCCAGCGAACAAGTGGGCGAGTTCATAGCCGAGGAGGTGCAGCCCGTGCTGGCCCGCTATACCGACGCCCTAAAGAACGTCCAGGCTGTCCAACTAAATATCTAATTTTAATATCAGCCATTGATGCACTTATTAAACCGTTATGCTCCAAGCAATTAAATACATTCACATTTTATATTATGACGTATTTGTTTTAAAAACCACCATCTCTCCCAGATTGGGGTTATCGCTGAAGTTCTTTGACCCGTGGACCCCTATGCAATTCCTATTTGCTTCTCAGGTTTCTGACGCGCCTATGTTGTTCGTTGAGAGCTCAAACCCACAAGCCTCCAGCGTCGAACTGCAAACCGCATCAGATAACCCCTACATTTGTTTACACATTTTCTCAATCGCAGTCTAGAGCATTCATACAAATTTATTTTGCTGACTACTAACGTTCCAAAGCATCATATATTTATCATGACTATATAAATTAAGAAAGTACATAAGATAATACAGCATTCATTTGAGTTAAGGCAGCCACTTGATAAGCCCATCATACTAACACTTAAAACTATTAAAGAACAGCTCGTTGTCAGAGTACAGCCAAAGGCCTTTAACACATTATTTGAACTAAGTTGGGATTGCAAAGAGTGGTTGAACCATCTCGAGCTGTCATTCGCCTGCCAAGCTGGCGAGCAGCTCCTCGTCGATGCCATCACCTGATCCTATTGTGCCAGTGCTTGTCAGGTTGAGCAGCATATCGCTCGTTGCAGAGGAAGCTGTCGATGGCTTCTGCCCTCCACTGCTGCTATTCGATGTAGTCGTCAGGCTGGTTGCTAAGGCATTTAAATCCACGTTAAGCTGCTGCTGCTGCTGTTGCTGCTCCAGCGAGGAGGCTGAGGAGGAAGACGAAGCTGCTGTTCCTGCTGCTAACGATGGATCTGTGGTGCTGGTAGTCTGTCCAGCTCCGCCATTGTTGCCACTTGGCCGCTGAGACAATTTGGGTATCTGAAACTTGTTGTGCAGTCCCTTGATGAAGCCCTCCATGCTGGCTGCCATGGTGGGCGAGGCGTATTGTAGAATGGTCATCATGTCTGTGTGGTGATCGAAGCGCGGCGGTGGCTGTGACATCGACCCGCTCAACGCTGCTGGTGACATTCTACCAGCTCCCCCTCCCGGTCCCAATCCTGATCCATGGCCCGTTAATGATGACTTGCGCTGCGATCCACCTCCACCGCCTCCACTAGTTCCCGGACTACACATACTGGGCCGGCGCTTAGGCACACTATGCTCCTGGAAGGAGTTGGTGCTGTTGCTCTTTGTTAAAGGCAAACCACTGCCTAAAGACGAGGAGCCGCAAAGTTTGCTGCTCAGATTCCCAGAGGAGTTCGCCTTCTGAAAGAGATGTTTGCTCGAACTGGAACTGCTTGCCCCTGTACTGGAAGCCGATGAAAGCGCCTTCTTCGAGGCTGGTCCGCTGTTGACGCCTGGCTTTAAGCCCGTGTGTTGCTTCTTGCTGCTAGTGGAGGACGACGAAGTCGAGGTCGCGGATGACCCAGCTGCTCCGCCTTTGCTTTCTCTCTTCCCGCTACTCGTTTTATTGATGGTCAGTTTAAGGCCTTCCTGGCTGCTTGGCTTCACCATGTATCCCGTGGAGAGGCCAGAGACTGCTCCCGTAGTGGAGCTGCCGCTCGTACAACTAGAATTGTCGGTACTATGTGGCACTGCTCGCTGCGGCTGCTGCTGCTGTGTTGTTGTTGTTGCTGCTGCTGTTGTTGTTGTTGCATGTGCTGCTCCCAGTGCCGCTCCCGCTTCCACCACTGCTGTTGCGGTGCCCGATGAATCCGCTGCTGTTGTGGTTTGGATGGTTGCCGTCGAAGCTGCTGTCGACGTCATCGAACTAACCTGACAAAGGAAGCGCGTGGTCGTGTGCGTGTGTGTGTGTGGAGACAAACAAATGAAAAACGAACCGAAAACGCAAATTAAAGTAATCAAAAAGTAGCGCAGTGTCGATTGAGGGTTAATGTCCCGAATCATGCCAAGACCGCAGCAAGTGTATAGGTAGAGCGAGAGAGAGAGAGAGTAACTCGTTAGTATAAAGTTTGTCAGTGGTCCCAAAAACCTTACATAAGGTATGCCCAGATGATCCGAGACATCCTCTACTCCACATTACATATTAAATCACATTAACAATAGATCATCATGAAAGAGGATAAATATTGTACTCAAATTGAGAAGAAACGTGCAAAGTGCAAAGAAACTACATAAAATATATATTATATTGCAATGGAGGGATTGTTTTGGGGACTACTGAAGCAATAGAGCCCATCACAGGGATTAATAAGACCAAATAACACGGATGCAGTTAGAAAATAGGTAATAAAAGTAAATATATTTACAAACAGAACATACAGTAGATCGAATTAAAACAAAAACTACAGCAGTGACAGTATTAATTATAATAGTAATATAAATAAATTATTACAATTATTCATTTTATATTTTGCATTCAGATCAAAGTTTTAGTGGTATGCAAAATGGAAACAGATAATCAACTAGGGGTTAGAGGTGCAGGTGGAGGTTGAGTTGGTGGCGGTTGAGTTGGTGGGCACAGGAGAGCTACTCATAAATTGAAAACGGACTTACCGCACCTACCGCTCCCGCAGCTGCGCCCAATCCCGATCCCACTCCCGCTCCCGCCATTCCCTTGCGTAGTGCATTCAGCTCCAAGGCGGCCACGGCTGGAGCCCCATAGCTGCCCAGATTTCCACCTGCGGCTAGATGCGATAAGCTGGCCACAGATGACTTCAGTTGTTGCTGTTGCTGCTGCTGCTGCTGCTGTTGCTGCTGGGAGCTCTTCAGCGCAGCTACTGCAGCCGCGACTCCCGGTGGAGCAACAGATGTGGAACTACTGGCGATGGATTTGTCTTTTTTTATAGCAGCAGGCAACTGGCTGCTGCTAGCCAGCGGTGGCACGGGCCGCAGCATGGAAGGATTACCACTGGACCCCAAGCCAGAACCAGCAGCAGCCAAAGGAATGGCGTGAGTAGAGCTGGAACCACTTCCGGCGCCTGTTGTCATGGACTTCTCGCCCTTTGGACTGAGACTGAGACTGGTGGCCGCTGTTGCACTTTTGAGAGTGGACATGCTCGGTTTGCCGGAGGACCCATGCTTGGGCGAGAGGGTGCCGAATGGCGATTTGGGGCTATTCGAGGCAGTGTTACTGCTGCTGTTGTGCTTTGGGCTGCTGTACACAGGAGAGTGCTTCGGACTGGGACGTGCCGACGGTTGGCCGGCCATCAGACCCAGAGCCGCTGCAGCTGCAGCGCTCCCTCCCTTGGGCGAGGATGATGACGAAGTAGAGGGCGACGAAAACTTGCGCACAACGCCGCTTCCTGCCGAAGAATCCACCATCCCGCCAGCCGCAGGCGAGTTCTGCCGTGAATATACCTTCTCAGGAGGCCCCATGGGCGAGTCATCTCGCTTCTTCTTGCGTTTCTTTTCCTTCTGCGCATCGCTGGAGGTGCTACCGCAAGTGCTACTGTTCGGGTTCGAAGAGGAGGTGACCTCATGAGGCCGTTTAGTAGCATTTCCACTGGAAATTGGCTTTTTTGCCTCTTTGCTCGTCTCTTTGCCACCTCCAGTGATGGGTGTGATGGTGATTGTTGTAGCCGGAGACCCCGTGCTCGGAGAGCTGCCCACATTGGCTGGCGCATTCAGTGGGATGATTTCAATTCCGCCCGTACGCTGCACGTCCACCTGTTGCTGCAGCGGCGATTTTCCATCGCCAGCAATGGGAGTGATGCTGACGCAGTGCTTCAGGTTGGGCGTTTTATCTTTCCAAATATTTTTGTACTTGTCGGCGATCTCATGGTCGCTGGCCTTGGACTCCAAGCCAGAGCAGGAGGGGAGAACAGAGCTATTTGCTCCAGTTGATTGAGGATCGGTTTCACGCTTCAAACTCATGAGGCCCGCAATGGCCGCAGCAGCCGAAGTAGATGCAGCGAATGCATCAGCTAGGGAACGAACCTTGGAGTCAATTTTAAGATTGGAAAGGCTACTGAATCCGCCGCTAGTTCCGATCCCGCCCTCTCCTGCTGCTTCAATTGCGAACTGTCCGAAGTTACTTGTTCCATGCATTCCGCCACTTCCACCTCCAACTCCACCTCCTCCTTTCCTGCCTAGTCCACCCGCTGTTCCACTCCCTGTGCCAGCTCCAGGGGCCAAACTGCCATGCAGCTTTTGCTCATGCTCCTCATCCCAGCACTTAAGCAACTTATATATAACCATCGGAATTGAGAGCACCTGACGCACTGTTCTAGTAAGCTTCTGGGAGAGCTCTTCATACTCATTGCTCAGGCAGTAAATGGTGCAAGTTGCCTGGCCGTCCTCCAGCAGAAAATCAACCGTGGCGAGCGACTCCTCGTACGGATGCTGCAATTCCACTGTGATCTGACTGAGCGAAACAGCAGTTACTTCCAAAATGACCGTGCTGTCCATGTCTGTAATAAATGCAAACGGATATTAGATTTTACACTATTCTTTTTCTTATAAGTGCTACACACCATTGTATTGTTTCTGTTGCTCCCTGACGCAGCTGGAGAGGAGCGTGTAGAAGAGCGCCTGCTTCTTGAGGAACGCAATTATTTTAAGTACCTGCGCAGGCTCCGTGAATGGCAGCGACGATATCAGAGTGCCCTTCAGCCTGCGGTTGTCTGTGAAGAAGTAGCAGTGCGTCTCCTTCGGAAGATTCACATACAAGCCTTTCTGGGTGTTCTTTATTAAGTGCCTTGAGGCCGTTTGCACAATTAGATTCATTACTGTCGTAGCTTCCTCGTTTGCTACGTTTGAAAGGCCAGGGAGACCCAAAGCTCGCAGTGACTCTATGCAGACGGGCATGGGTTTACTGAGACGCAGAACATAGGTAGCCGGCATCAGCATTGAATTGTTCTGCGTGAGCGGCGCATAGACGGGTTGCTCTAGAGGCAGCCCAGACTCACTACTGCAACTGACAATAGGCAGAATTTGCAGCTTGTTAGCAGACGAGGCTTCGAGATTTAGCGTGGCGCTGAGTCCGTTGGGGCTTTTTATGACCTGCTCAATGCTTAAGTCCTTGCTTGCAGTTCCACTGGAAGTGGGCACATTCTCGCCTTTCACCTTTTTCTCGATGAGGTGAAGAGGCGGACAGAAGTAGGTCAGCTTCATGGGATGTCCTCCGCGACGCGGTAGGACCAAGCCCACCGATGAGTTATTCATGATGTAGTAACTGTCACTGCTGCTGCTAAGTTGTTGCTGCAGCTGGTGCTGATAGAGGCTGAAAATGTCCGTTTCCATGGCCTGTAGCGCTACAAAGGCTTTTTTCTTGACTTTCGGCTCGGCGTTCAGTTGGTAAATGGACGATAGGCCCTCCAGCTGGACTGTAAAGTCTGCGAAGTCGCCTGCCTTCAGGCAATTAAGCAACTCTGAGGAACTGGCACTCGAATTAGATTGCTGCTCAATTTTACACTCGTGGTGGACCTTGACATCACTAAGGTTTCCACTGGCATCAAGCAGGATCTCCACGTAGAACATGTCTGTTGAAATGAATAGCATTTGCTGATCTTCCATGAATTTGAGACCCAGCTGGCGAGACAGACTCTCCAAACGCTCCACAAGACCGTGTCGGGATGTTACTTTGATGTAGTGCTGCAGCTTGTCTAATGCCGACTGTAGCGCTGCCTTGCAAAGCGGGTCCAGCGGATAGTGCTTTTCTATGAAGTACATGCGCACAGATTTCTTGATATCCTCGTAGCTCTTTGGCTTGTTGCGGTACTTGGCACGTAGCTTTTCCATAAGCGTCTCCTGTTGCATTTGCTTGTTTTTTTCCTCAATGCTTGGTATGGGCATTGTGATGGGTGCTTGGCCTCTATAGCCGGCTGCATGTATCAGTGTAAATTAGACGAAAATGCTTCGAATTGATTTGCACTTAAGGTACTTACCTCCGCTGTTGTTTCTTGAATGACTTCCGCTCATTTTCCTCGATTTTTCACATTATTAAAACTATATTTAGTAATTATTTATAGAACTTGCATATCCAACATATTTTCTGCGTCCATTTTTTTCAGCAGAAAGAACCAATGCTGTGCAGCATATTCGCCATTCACTGCGTTTCGTTCGATTAAATGAACCAGTTCGTCTTTTAAAATATATCGATATTTTAATTTTAATTTATAACGTTTATTTGGTTTATTTTACCATAACTACACTGTCGAAGATATAACATTATTCATCCTTACGATTTTTGAATCAAAAATTGAAAGCTTTAAATCTTGAGTCTTATTAAAGGGTAATGATTTTAAATAATAGATTAAGTGCATGCAATGTTCTGAAATTATTAAAAAGATTTATAAAATGCTAATATGATTATTTGTATTTGGAATACTTAAGACTTAATCTAATCTTGGATTACAGGGTATGGGCTAGGAATCAAAAGCCATGCAGCACTAAGCCAGTCTGATGGAATCACAGCCTCCCCCACCTATTACCACCACATGTAGGACACACGAAGCAGGTACGTTAACTTCATTAGGCTCCAACAAGAGTAGCCTGTGAGCAAGTTGCCTGTCAGTCTTCTGTTTCCGCTCGGTTACCGGAAGCTGCGTCAAATATCCTAACTGCCAAAACAAGCAGCTTCAGTTATAATTCAATTGCCTTCTGGCTTCTACTCCAACCACACATACACATCATCTATGACATATGTTCTGCACCATTCGATTTCATTTTTTATTTACAATTTCTTTATTGCATTTTCAATTTAAATTTGCAGGCTGAATAGCTCGACAGGCCGCCTGTCTGGTTTCATACGAACATGAATGAGGCATGAAAGCCGAAAAGCCAACCACATTAACAATTTAATGAGTACTTATGGAGCTGCTTGCTTGCCACTTGGCTAGTCAATCGATGGCTGTACAATTTTATGTGCTCTTGCGACTTGCTACAATATAAATCAGATATTTTCAAATTTAGCAATTGGCAATTTGTTTTAGGTATGTAACATATTTCTTTATATTTTAAATAACCAATATATGCTTACCTGCTCATATTCAGAGCATTATCTATGTAGGGTATCTAGTGTGCCATGCGGCTTTATATTTACACTTCAATTAGCTCGCAAAAATGTCGATGGAGCGATAGATAACCAACACAAATCACAAATGAAATGCTTCAACTGCTCCCCTACTGACAGCAGCATCCAATTTAACTTGATTAACGCAATCATGTGCATAATTTGGCCTGGCTGGAGCCCAGCTGTGATTTAATATTGCCATGGCCAAATGTTTTCTTAAAGTTGTAGTAACCTCATCGGTTTAGCATTAGGCCAACGTGGCGCCCCTACCCTTTGTAGACGCGCACAAAGCCAACAAACAAGACCCAATTTACATAGAATAGCTAGCGATTATCGCATCAGCCTCGCCTTATGGCTGCCACAAACTGCGCCTGCAGCGTTTTTAATATGCACCAACATTTGCATCACGCGGTATCCTTGCTCTACACACTTCCGCCTAGAGATGGCCTCTAACGGCTAAGCAAACCTATATTAATTTAGTATTGATTTATATTCAAAATTTGTCTTATATTTTGTGTTTGTATAAATGAATATTGCGAATTAAGTTTTAAGACTGAGAGTAACCATAGAACTTTAGCTAAGGTTATATATATATTTAATATTTCAGATCTTATACAAAACTTATACAAACTTGATATATTTATATTTACACTTATTCTTATATTAAGTGATAGTAAAATAAAGTAAAATTTTATGTTTTATTTGATCATAGTCATCCTTAACTATGGCTAGACATGGTCTTTACGGACTTCTTAGTTAGCACAAAAAGAAAATATATTTATATACCATATTTAAAGTTCAATTCAATGTTTTTTTAGTTTTTATAAAAAATATTTTATTTCTTTTATGATTTAGAACTTACAAAATATCTAAGAAATAAAAGCAGAGTTCGCCCACTTCATTTAAGTCTTGTTATTATCTTATACGAATATAGAAAGGAACTAATTCTTTAGTTTTTATTACAAATTAATTAGTTCTACTTAAAAACACCTTTTACATTAAATATTTATTTTATCACATTTTTCCATAAATTTCTAAGCTTAATTTTAGTCAAAAGGTTTTTCTACATGCCCAAGCTAAATAAATAGCTCAAAGTATCTCATTTTTATTCACATTTAATATTAAATTCTAAATTTATAATATTTATAACATTTATAATATTTGTAATATTTATAATATTTATATTTATATTTATCACATTTATAATATTTTTAATAATTATAATATTTATTATATTTATAATATTAATAATGTTTATAATATTCAATATTAACCCGTGTCTTTCGTGTCACGAGAGGAGCCCGAGTTCTGTTTCGCCAACCTCCCACTCTCAGTTATAAAAGCAAGCGAAAAAAGTATGAAATTTGTATGCACTACACTTGCATAACATTGACGAAGCCGCTGTTGAAAGTTTCGCCCTCTGCTTGGCTGGCTACAATGGGCACTTGAAGCTTCAATCAGCTCTCCCTGATGATCCCTGGTCGGCTGACGACGTTAACTTCGTTGATATTATCCCTGCGGCTGCTCGATTTACACCAGCTCATAAACGTTTTGTGATGTAATAATGTTTAATAGGATTATATTTTGGACTAGGGTGAGACTTAATGCAAGCCTGAAAGGGAAAGAGAAGGGAGACAGAATAAACATAGTAGTTTTTGTTGCTTGTATTGTCAATAAATATAAAAAGAAGCGTTGGTCTGCATTCGCGATACTTAAATGTTTGCCCTAGCGTTGTCTATTGCTTGCTGATAATCCAACTGAAAATATTTTGGCAAGCGAGTCTTAAGCTTCTCGCTTACAAATTCGCCTTAAGCGCCATAAGCCCAAGCACATGTCGCATCACCTTTAAGGACACGTAAGCGCCGAGCCGTGCGTCGCATGCATTCCAAATGCAATTCAATTTCCTTTTACTGGTATCGTCCTTGGTCCTTGGAGCCGCTGCCATGTCGCCTGGCTACATTGGTTATTGATTGTTAGCCTTAATTCTCCAAACAGCTCTAGTAAGTTGCCATTGTCGTCACTCGCTTAATATACAGTTGTCTCAAATATATCCTGTATATCCTGTATATCCTGAGCACCGTTTAGCGGGCTATTGAATCGTCTTTGCAATTACCTGAAAATCTGTACGGCTTCAATTTTATTGCACACATTTCAATTGCAATCACGGACTGCATGTCAAGCAATTAACAGAGCTCCGTTTGCGTTACATCGGGGATACAAACGGGCTTAAATGCAGCTTAGCACGAGATTCCCGCTAAAGCTTAAAATGTTCTGAGAATCTGCATATGTTTTTTACGAATTTAGCTACAAGTTTTCTAAGCCAGTACACCTGACTTGTAAATACCCTGCACGCATGAATAGGCAATCATGACTTTACTTTAACAACTCATTATAATAAAGGAATTCCTATATGAAACATTATACGTTTTGGCTTTTCAACAGTGCATGCATTTTTAATCAGTGTAAAAGACAAATCGAGTAGTAAAGTCTTGAAGGAAAGGTTCTCTATTACATATTTGTATAAAGAAAATGATGATAATGTGTGAAGTATGTATGTCCCAAAATTATGTAACTTTTGAATGAGAATCTTAGATGTACGCATAGTTTATACATATATGTAGCACATAGTTCTGCGTGGAGTCCCGTTAACTTATTATATATCAGCCACAGGTTGCCTTGGAATGCATATTTCGTGGCTAAAATATCCTATATAGAGACAGTTTATTTTCCTATTTAGAAAGTAGTTTATAGACCATACAAGAATCAACTTATCTAAGTCGAAGTCTTTCCTAATAACTACAAAATTTGTTAATACTCAGCTGAATCGATTATTATTGATTACATGAATACAAATGTTCGATGATTTGCAAACTAAAATATTTCTAACCTTCAGCTTATATGGAATGAAGTAGAAACAAACAGACGAACGCTAGCAGATAAGTAGATGGATATGGATATGGCTTGCTGGTGATGTTGATCGAGAATATATATTCTTTGTGTCGACTGCCTACTCCACATAATCTGTTTAACTAGCTCCAATGGATACTGTTTTTACAGCCTTGACTTGTTGATATGCCAGAGGTTATGGCCTACACGGTCAACTTTGCAAGGTTAGTTTAGTGGGGGTATCTATGCCAGTATCTACGTCTACTTAACAATTGATTGTTGTGGTTGTTGCTGTTGCTGTTGACGCTGTCAGGTGGAAAGTAATTGAAGTTTCACAACAACTTTTGCCATCAAACAAGCCGACAGCTGCTCGCTTTATCTGTCATCAGCGACACCGCCTACGGCTCTGTTTGGGTCTTTGATGTATTTGACTCATAGTTTTTTCTGCTTGGCTCATCCCAATTGCAGTGCGGCCCTTCGATTACGTTGAGTGTGTCAGATTCGAGAAAAGTTTTGAGCAACTTTCCGTCTATCTTTAACACACCGAGCTGGGCGATTTGTTTACACGTTCTGTTCGCCGCAAATTATTTGCATGTGGAAAGTCCAACAACTTTCGCTCTGGCAAATCTCGTCGATTAATCTTGCGCATATGTTGGGTTCTTCGCACTGTTTGTTTTCAGTTTGAAATTTTCAATTTTGCACTTACAAGATTTTATGTTTGGCCTTAAATTGTGTCAGGCTCGTTTTTTTTTGTTTTTTTCTTTCTGCTTTGCTCTCAGTTTGTTTAGACTGTTGGTTTTGGCCGAGTGCCAACTGTGGGCGTGTCAGACAACTTGAGAAGCAAACACAAGGTTCAGTTAGTGTTGCGTAACACAAGGAAACTGTGCAGAAATCACGCTTAAGCAAGAAATGAAAATAATCGTAATATTGATTCAAAAAAGTGAAATTGTTTTTGCTTAATGATTCCTTGTCGAGATTGATTGATAGACTAGAAGTAAGCAGAATTTATATGTAAATATAAGAGTCGATCCCGTGTATTAACATGTTTAGAAATCAGTCTGTATTATCTTTCTCTTGAATTTGTCGAAATTCTGCCCGCACTTACACTGACTTTAACTTTATATTCTATGTCGCCAAATGGCATAATCGAAAGGACAGATCCTGAATATGAAAAAAAATCAATTCAGAACAAATATGTAGAATTATATAAGAAAAGGGTTCCATTTTGTCGAACCCTATCACACATACAGGTCTTCAGCTCTGATTAGCTGCGCATCTCTGTGATGAGTTCTGAGAACAGTTTGCTAAAGAATTTCAATCAGCTCTGAACACGTTTTTGTTTACACTGCCCGCACATTTATGAGCTGGCGTGCGTCTGCTTATCAGGTGATTAGTGCTATCAACGCTGCTGGCCATGTTACCAAGTTCAATAAAATCAGGATCAAACCGAGAAATGTTGGCCTGCGCGCGTGTGTGAGTATGTGTATGTGTGCATGTGTGCGTTATTGTTTACGCCTTTGGCATTGTAATCAATACAAAAAAAAATGGAAAAAAAGCCTGACCGAGCTGAGTAGGTGGGCTTGACGTTTTCCAGGACCAGGCAAGCGTGTAAATGCAATTTCCGTTTGTTGCAGCCGGAATTTCGTGCACGCCAAGGGAACTCCCAGTGACTGCTTGACTGACAGCGACCAACAACACTGGCAGCACCACCACCAGCACCACAACTGGCATCAGAGGCAGCCAAAGGAGCAACATGGTGGGACGCCATGCTGATGCACTTTCTGCCTTGCTCCATGCGCGAAAAGCATTCTTAAAATTTTTTAAAAAATATAAATTCCATTTTCGGGTTGCATTGCAATTCATTCTTATAGATCAGACATGAGGCAT